GCAAATCTCTGATTGGTCAGTTCAAGGCAAAGCATACCCATGATCCAATGACTGTTCTCTGATTGGCTAAACATAAGTCACCTGTATGTATCTGTGAATCCAGTTGCTGTCCACTGAGAAGCTTCATTCAGCCCACTAGCAGGAAGGATGCCCCCTTCCAAGAGATCATGGCATAGACACCCAGCTTGGAGACATCCCTCATGTGCTGGACTTCTTTATTCCTTTGCTATGACAAAACACCTGACAAAGCAACGTAGGAAGGAAGGGTTTATTCTGGCTCACAGTCTGAGAGGGCAGACCATCATGGTGGGAAGGCATGGCTGCAGGAGCTCGAGGCAGCTGGTCACATGCATCCACAGTGAGGAAGCAGAGAGATGAATGCTGGTGCTCAGCTCACTGTCTCCTTTTTATTCAGTCCAGGACCCCAGCCAGGGATGGTACAGGCCACATTCAGGGTGGGTCTTCCCACTGTAGTTAACCTAATCTAGATAAGACCTCACAGGTACATCCAGAGATTTGTTTCCATAGTGATTCTAATTCCCATCAAATTGACAGTCAAAACTAGCCATCACACTCTCCCACCCAGATCCCTTATGAGCACCCACATTTGCCACAGACCCCTCTCCATATATTGTCCCACATCTTTGATTGATAAAATACATGCATATGTGTAAGAAGCTGTATTGTTACTTTTCTCCTCATGTGACAGAATACCTAACAGAAACAGCTTAAAGAAGGAGAGATTTATTTTGGCTCAAGATTTGAGAGAGTTTATATCCATCATGGTAGACAAGGCATGGCTACCTTCATGTGGGGGTGTTCAGCTTGGCTTCCACACAGCCCCATGGATCCAGAAGCAGAGAGCTCAGATAGGAAGCATAGCCAGCCTGTAACCCTCAAATTTCACCACTATGGTCCTATGTCTGCCAACTGGGCCTCATGTCCAAAAGGTTCTACAACCCCCAACACAGCTCCACCAGCCAGGGACGAAGTCTTGAAACACGTAAGTCTGTCAGTGACATTTCACATTCAAACCCTAACTGAAATCTTGAAGACATTTTATAAATGGAATGATATTTTTTATTAATCTTATACCACGTGTACAAGTGTGAGTTACATCATACATTGGTCCCCTAAGCTGTTCCAGACACATTCAGAAATGCAGACCTCTCAGTCTGGAGAAATGGCTTAGCCAGTAAAGTGCTTCCCAGACAATCATGAGGGTCTGAGTCAGATTCCAGGCACCCATGTAAAAAGGTGAATGTGGTGCACACACTTATAATCCCAGTGCTGAGGAGGCAGAGGATCTCTGGGGCTTCCTAGCCAGCCAGCCTAGCTGAATTGGAGAACAACTCATCCTGCTGAGAGATTCTGTCTCAAAAAACAAGATGGAACTCCTCCATTCTCTCCTGAAGAATGACACCCCAGGTTGTCCTCTGGCCTCCACACACATGCATACCTGTGCTCATGCGCGTGCACACACGCACACACACACACACACACACACACACGAGTAGGGAGAGGGAGGGAGGGAGGGAGACAGAGACAGAAACAGAGAAAGAGACAGAGAGGCAGACTCTGCAAGAACATGGCAGTCCATTCCAGCCTGCCAGAGGTCCCAGAGAGGAAGGGGGAGCTGGGGAGGCAGGGGTGATCCAAAGGGCAGAAGAATGCCCCGAAGGGGAGGTGGAGATGGTAGACTGTGATTCTCCTAACATGGACACTTCCTTCATTGCTTGGACTCATTTGATCCAAGACCCACACAATCCCAACCTCCTTATCTCCAAGTGAACAGGAAGAAGTGCATGGAGGATTCAAGACATTTAGACTCCAAGTCGGTGTCTGAAGATGTGGCATGCTCAGTTCAGGGCAAACGGACACACAGAGTCCTTCAGCCACCATCTCACCTGTCTCTGTTCCCTCATCTTCCAGTTGTTTACACAGAGCTTTGATTCCTAAGCTGCCTCAAGGCCTCTAAAAAACAGCTAGAGAGCAGATCTTAAACACAGCCACAAATCCAGGTCCCTGTGGGCTGGGGGCAGAGCTCAATAGTAGAATATCTGCCTGGAAACCTCCAGTGAGGGGCTGGGGGTGCCCCAGTGGTAGAGCACCTGCCTAGAATCCCCACTGAGAGGCTAAGGTATGGCTCAACTGTGTCTTGGGGTTCTGGGCTTATGTGTGGGGTCCTCCCCATCCAGCCTGCTGAGTCCCATTATTCCCTGTGACACAAGAACAATAAATCCACGCCCAAGGATCACTGTGTAGATGCAAAAGCTCTCAAGAGTGTTTTGGTCACTGAAAAGCAGCCCCCAGTGTGTGTGTGTGTGTGTGTGTGTGTGTGTGTGTGTGTCCATCAAATCTGTACTACATAGTGAGACCCTGTCTTTAAAAGTAGACTGGAAGCACTCAGGAAGCAGAGGCAGGCAGATCTCTGTGAGTTCAAGGCCAGTCTGGTCTACATAGTGAGTTCCAGGACAGCTGGGGCTACAGGGAGAACCTGTCTTAAAAAGACCAAAAAGAAAAAAAAGCAGAAATGAGAGCGGGAGAAGGAAGGGAGGAAGACAGGAGGGAAAGGAGGAGGGAAAGGAAGGAAGGAAAGAAGGAATAAAAGAGGCTGGAAGGGAGGGAGGGGGAGGGGAGAAAGGGAAGAAGAGAAGGAAGGGGAAGATGGAAGCAAGGAGGGGGGAAAAGAAGAAAGACTGATTTCCATGGATGCTGCTGGCTTGGTGTATAAGATAAACTGAGAGCCTCAAGGGAGCCGTCTTCAGGGTCTCTAGGAGCCCAGAGCAGCTCTCTGGCTGCAATGGAGGACACTGGGGTCTCAGTACTGGGAGCAGAAAATGGAGCTGCAGGCAGCTGCTTTCCACGGCTTCATTCCATTGCGGTCTTGTGGCAGGAGGCCACTGCAGGTGCTGCGCCCTACCAGTGTGATGGCGAACTCTGCCCTTTGGTCCCTAGCAGCCTCATCTTGGTCTCCTGCAGGACAAAGGCCAGGAGCGTTCTCCTCCTCTGTAACTGTTCTGAGGTAGGATTGAAAGAGGACCATAACAGAGAACTGGGCAGGGAAAGGAGCCCCTTACCCCAAGTCTGAGCCTCCCACCACTGAGAACCAAGGACTCCAGCAAAACTTACATACTGTGAAGTTTGCCAACATAGAGATAA